AACTATCAAACGATCAGATCGTTCAACTGAAACAGCATTTTTCTCTCTTTGGACGAATAGTAGCGCTCTAATACTATCCTTTCAGTAGAGGGTTTAGCGGCTACTAGGCCGCGTTACTTGTTTTTTTATTGTCCATACTTTGCATCGATGCTTGAAAAAAGATTGGGAAGGAAACTGTGCTTTTAAAGCCAGTATTTCATCACTTCTACCACGAACTGGAACTGATGTGAGTATTTTGGTTTTAATATTTCTCACAGGCTATAAAGAAAAGACGGTACATTTTGGAATCCACTGAAAAGGTTTTGTAGATAGTATATAGCTGTGAAATATGCCAGAATGTCGAAAATGGTTTCCCTGCCGACGTTTGTGAAGCGTTAAAAAAGACCTGCCCACGGGCGCACACTCGAAATCATTGCTTAGAAAATCATTAAGGTTTCGAATCTCCTAACGAAATCTTCTTTCGGTGTGTAAAATCTAAAAAAGTTTCGCAGGCAATGGCTTGGGGCGTGTGCCAGCGGGCAGATCATTTTTAACGTTTCACAGGCTTCGCAAGGGAAACAGCTTTCGACATCCTAGCACGTTTTACAGCTATATACTACCTACGAAACATTTTTGGGTGATTCCAGAATATGCCATCTTTAATTTAAGGCGTGTGCGAAATAACGATTGCGGCAGAATAGATGAGCCTCTCAGTGTTTTTGCAATAACTCCTCTAACTTCCGTCTGATCAAGCTAATCTTTCTTTTAAAAAAATTGTTTTTTGAAGCTCTATAGAAATAATCTTCTTTTATTGTCACAAATAATTTCCATCGTTTTGAGAAGCACGATACAATCGATCAGTCCAACTAGAACAACGTTCAAAAACATCTGATTCGCGATTCTTTTTAATCGATGATTTTAACTGTTGGATCAATGTTGTTTATGACTTCACTTTGTTCTAATCGATAGATTTGACAAGTTTGGCCCAGATTGAATAGTCCAGCTGGCTTAAATCCGGCCTATTCGCAGCCCAACGATTCTTGTCAATAAACACTGGAAAATTATTAAGGCATTATTCTTGTGTTAAATGGTGTTGGTGTAGCTTTGTGCTATCTTGGAGAAAGATCCAGTTGTTAGGAAAGACCTTATTGCCATACTCTAAAGCTATAGGAAGCATTTTTCAATGTAGGAAGTATGATCGAGAGTTCTTTCATTGTTGATCACCAGGGTATAATACCCTTGCAACAGACGCCCAGCCACCCCATTACTTTTTGTGGAAATTTTCGTTTTTGCTTAATGTCAACTTTTTTACCGGCATCACCACGATCTCCTGCCACACTTGATCAGTCTGAGAATTGTAGACACCATCGATGTCAAAGAACTTTTCATTAGAAAAGAGTATTTTCAAAACCTCTTCTTTTCGAAAGTTTGTTCGAGCCTAACTCGCAAATTGTTTCCTCTTGATCTTCCAATCATCAGAAACTGTTGATTCGATTATGTTTTTATAGGAGCGAAGCCCTAGATCGTTTTAAGTATTCACCGGACACTTCTATATGAGTTCTTTAGTTCCATCGATATTTTTCGGGCTGATACTAGTGTACTGCACTGGAGTTATAAAATGGAAAATTTGTGGAATTGGAGTTGGAAAGAAAATAAGAGAATTTTTTGGAGTTAGTTTCCGAGCTGTATCAGTAAAAAAGACAAGCACTTTTTCTTCAATAGATAAACAATTTTATTTCATAAGTTAAATAAGAAACATAAATTTACTATCTGTATTTCATAATTACAAGTAATAATAACATTGATCTTTTACAACATAGTGGGAAACGAATATAACAACTAATCCGAAAAAACCTCCATATTGTCACAATCAATTAAGCTTTCATCAGTATCAAGTCGTTGTTGTTTAGCTGAAGAATCATCGGAAGATGTTGTTATTGTTGATGACATGGATAATGTTCGTTTTCGGTTACTATTGTTGATAAGTTGTTTCAAAGTATTTAGATTCTTTTGTAAAAATAATAATTNTCGATACTTCTTAGTTTATTGTGGAAAATGAAAAGTTACACGCGTGGAAAAACACTCCTCTCGTTGCTCTCTCTTCACACTATCACACGTACATATTTATATGCACACATACAAAGAAGAGTGAATAGATATCACAGAAACAAAGAAAGATATCACTAATACAAAAGATCTAGGGAGATAGAAGGTATAACGATTGATCTAGGCAGAGAGAGAGAGAGAGAAAATAAACGTACATGTATCTGAGAGAGATGTCGCCTATAACACTCTCCTTCAAACATCGAAAATTTCATGATTTTATTTGGTCCACTGGTTCTAGTCTTTTCACCAAGAGAGAACAAAGTGATTTCAAATCGTGAGATCATCCGAAATCACTGAAATCACGAAATCATGAAATCAGTTTGTTCCCCCTTGCTTTCCACAATGGTGGTCACATTTTCAAGTAAAAGCGGAAGATCTGGCCACCCTGACGTTGACCGTCTCCGTCAAGATAACGCTACACTTAACTGAAACTGTAAAATGAATCCGCTGTCGAACGAAATCAGTTGTATGAACTGAATAAAACGTGACTACTGATCAAATCTAAGAAAAAGTCTCGTAAAAAGATCTTCCTCGACAAAGTAAGAACGTAAGTTCTTAAGCAACGAATAGTGAGAAATATCTGCAGCTTTATTTTCCCCGCCACTTCATCCACACACTCATTATTGTTCTAATTAATTCGTTTGTACCTTTTTTCGACATTGTCTTTTTCGAAATCTCAAAACTTTTGTAGTCGAAACTTTAACCTTTTAGCAATGGAGCGAGGTTATCGCATACAATAAAGCGATGTCATATACAATCGACGTTCACTTCTCGAAGACGCATAAAGATCAGAATATTTAACCTACTTTATGTGTCAGTAGTCTCTTGTCCCCTCTTTACTTTTACACAAGTCAATAATTCACATATGAGAACAATTAGAACTAAAACTTTTATGCTCCAATCTGTTCAGTTTTTTACAAAAGCACCTAAGGTATCTAAACTAGCGTTTACCACTTAACAAAATTTTGAATGGATCCGTTAAAATAGCAATGATGTATAACGACTACTAGCTCATGAGCATTCGAGAACACGAATAAGTTTTTCAAAACCCATCTTGCCGATGGAGGTCAGGGAGCTATGGTATCTCGAAGGTGTAAGACATGAAGATCCGGGGTACCCTTATAGTATAGAACTTGAGGATCCAGGGGTGTTCTCATAGTATAGGACCTGATGGTACGATTCGTTGAATCGAGTTCTTAAATCAGTTCAGTTGCTACGAGCTGAACTGTTGGCGGAGGCTCGGTTCGTTTAAGAGAATTGTTCATACAGTTCAGTTCGTGGAGCTGAGCTTTTGCGAGAATGAACTAAGTCTGAACTAGAGCTGAGTTTGATCACCCCTATTCAGTCGTCGAATTTCAGCTATGGTACTCGTAACGTGCCAATTTCAAAGATTTCGATACGTTTCTCGTTCGTTCCAATCATTGAAGCACTTTAGTTTTATACCATAATAAGAATCGAAAAGTTCAGAGTGAATAGGAACGTATTCTGAAAAAACGAGTGTAGCTTATCCTCGTCAAAAGTGTCTTACACTCAAAAGTGAGTGTAAGTGAAAGCGAGTGTAGATTATCTCGACCTTTTCCAGCAAAAAACTCTTCGAAGAGTTTTCACAGTCGAAGTAGTTACCGTAGACTTGGTCCTAGACATTTCCACCAAGGATGTCTTGTCCTATTCATATGCGTATGCTCCGATTGAGAATGCAGAGAAATTACACGCTGTAGACTTGACTCTCGTTATCGTTCCAGTTTACATTGTCTGTAAGAAAAGCTATGAAGTCTATATTTAAAGAGCAATCACCTATTTGCCTGAGGACGTTGGTTTTCTCCAAGAAGTAATGACTTAGTTTCCACAAATTTGTTCAAACTCAATACTAAACACTTGTCAAATCATTCACGTTTTCAAATAATACGTTAGTTTAGCTTTTTTTTATTTGCTTGAATATGTGATGAGAAACGCACTACAGAGACAAAAGCATATGAAAAGCGTATTGTTTGTTCGGGGTCGAAATACCCGTATATCTGCAGTTCGATTATTTATCATAGCAAACAGAAGCAGTGTAGTTTTGTTTATAATCGTTTAGTCTAGAGAGAGGCAATAAGTGACGAGAAAATGTCCAAATATAATCAGGCCAACCGTAAGCATTGTGTTTTTCCACTGTCGCTCGGAAAAACAGTTCTTTGGCGTGGTATTTGATGTATGAGTAGTTGTGGTGCTTGTTGTTGTAGTAGTAGATGATCGTGTTGTCGATAGATTGTTGCTGGTACTGGTGGATGCGTCAGTTGTTGTAGAACTAATCACTGATGATGGCAATATAATCGGTGTCATTTGTGTTGAAGTTATAGAATTTGTAAAGGTAGTTAGTACGGTGGTAGTGGTTGTAGCTTCTAAAGATTTGTTACTAATGAATAACGCTCTATGGAGCGGTGAAATATCATAGTATTGTTTAATATTTGCTTGAATTTTGGAGATAGTTTTTCGGCTATTGCATTCATCATAATTACATGCTATAATAACTGCTGTCGTCTCTTGCGTAGTAGTGATGTTGATAGAAGTAAGAATTTGAAGAAGAGCATTTGGGGTCTCAATACATCCTTCATTGAAACTAGTTCCATCGGTGCGCCACTCAATAGCACACATCGCATTTGGGCATTGCCGTATGGTATTGTTAACACCACTGCATAGTCCTACAAGGATCACACATTAGCATGTAATAGCGTACAACTAGATAGAGATTTCTGCAATTATAGAGATCTCGAAGAGATCCGACTTTTTTTATAGCTAGTGGATATCATATCCTTAAGGAAAAGTACGAAACGAAAATATTCGGATTGATATACGGAGGAAAATAGAATGATATCGAATGTTTTCATTCTTTCTCCAACGATTCATTCATCTAAGTAGTTAGCTTATAAATAAGTTTAACATCAGTCTCCTTCAAGTTTCATAATACTTACCTACTGGATTAGAATCCTTGTAGAGTAGAGGTGCATTCGTTGTAAAGATGTCATCAGACGGAAATTGAATTAGCCATTCGAAATGATTTAAAATGAATTCTTTATCACATATATCACGATATGAACAGGCAGTTTGGACAAGATTTAAAACAATACCACGATCGATTCCATAATAATGTACGGTCGTCACGAACTTAATTGAATCGATAGACATTCTTTCCTGTTGAAGCATATCAGTAAACAGAAATTGTATTTTGTCAGCACCAGGAACAGCAATAAGGCTGGCACGACATGGACTTTTAAATTCGCTTTGAGAAATCTTATTAAGTGCTACGTTCAAATTTTCACGACTGAGATTTTTCATGGACATCATAATTGTCTGATTCAATGGAGATAAACATAACAGACCATCGACGATCGAAAGTCTAATGAGCACTGCCAGAATTAGTAAAATCTCCATCGGAACTAAAAACAACGTCAGATAGCTTGTCAAAACTTTCTGGACGTTATGATTTCTTTTTTATGAAAAATAGAAAAAGTATTTCAGACGCGTTCTCTCCATTTCTTACGTTCAGAGATTGCTAATAAAAGAAAGATGAATTTGAATTGAACGTGGCATTTTTCAGTCATGATCTTCTCGCTGATGAATAGACATGAATGTGCAATATTTGGAAAAACAATCATTTTATTTGTGAAAGGAAAATGATGTTTTTCGCTGCTGTAAAACCTCTAATCTTAATATTTGATAACCATGTAAAAAGTGATTTTTGGAGAAAACGAAGAATATTATTTAAAGTTAACAATAATGAATGAGTTCTATTATGATGATATTCTTTCTAAGTAAAAATTCTCTTATATCTTCTGGAAATCCTTCGCATGTTAATTCATAGTCTCATTAAACTGTCTCATAACGAATGTATCGAAACAGAATGATCGCGAACAGATCTTTTGATCTGCCTTCACTTAATCTTTTAATTGAAAACTTCGGAGTTAGAATTAAAAAGACGTAGAAGAGCTGTTCGTGTTGATTATGGTATCATAAATAATCCTCTGTCAGAGAGCTGACAGTCTGAGATTGATCACTCTAAACACAACAAAAACATTCGTATTATACTAGTGTTCGTCAATACTCATGTTATCGACAGAGATCAAACAGCGGTGGTATCACGATCACACAACGGTTGCTTAATGACTTCTTTTGCGATTATTATCAACATTACAGAACAAGATAATATTATGGAGCCGACTTTTCATGTATTCCCGTATCAAATAAGCGTTATCATATTAGTAAATCTTACTTTTACCGTTTTACTTCAACACACATTAAATATTTATCAGTCAACTTTCATTTTAATCAAGTGAACTAAGAGTTTATACCAAAACTCGGCATAAACCTCCCTCCCGATGGTTGGCCAAATGATACTGATCGTATTTTCGTAGGTTTTTTGTGTTATTCCACGCCTATCATGTCACTATTAGAAGTTTTAACCGTCTAACAGCAAAGAACTGAGAATTATAAATAGAGAAAATAAGACTCACTGTTGCTTTTCTTGAAACCGATAGAACCTTACACCAACTGCGACAATCGATCTAACCGTATGAGTCGGTACTCATCAAGTTCTACTCGGTTGCCAAAAATGTTTTTCCAGGGGGTACAGCCCTAACGACTAGTGATAGACACAATGAATTTTATACCAAAAGAAAGCCCGTCAAAAACGGGATCTAAGGATATGTTTAAGTGTTCTGTAGAGAAAGGCATATACAGAGCTAAGATCAGTTACAGAATTTTGACAGTTAGGATTTCACCGACTTTCCAAGAAAGAAGTAATACAACCGTTAAGAAAATGTACATTATCGTAAAACTGATAAGGAATTTATATAATAACTTCAAACACATTGCTTGAATGTGCAAGACAATGATTCTTTTCAATCCTTTATCTTTTTTTTTCGTTCGCCTCCGTAAGGACGTGCGCACAGCATTGTAATCATGAAAAGAAGGAAGAAATAGTCGTTAGGGCTGTACCCCCCTGGAAAAACATTTTTGCAACCGAATACAATTGCTTAGATTTGTATAGTTCTATATAGATTATCATAGTTCGTTTATGATTTTCGTAATCATTTATAACAACTATAGCAGAGTCGAAGCCAACTGAAGATGAGATTTCTTTTCAACGGGGAAATCGTGAAATTCTTAAGGATCTTGGCATCCGGGACACACCCTAGATCTCACGCACATTCACGCGTTAGTTGACAGATATCGTGATAATGTCAGTGTACCGCACGCACATAATGTCGAACTGATGGTAGTTGGTGAAACCCGTTGAGCATGGTGACAACTACCGTTTATGAAAACTAAGAGCAATCTCATCCGACATCTCGCTCTATCGCCCGTCTTTGAACCAGCAAGTTTGTTGCAGAAAGTCGGACGGCACTAGCTATCACCCTCACCCACACTCACACCCTAGATGGTGACCGGAGCGATTACAGGGACTGAATGCGTAGCGATCAAGCAGATAAATATTCTTTATTAATATAGATTCGACAAATCATTTAGGAAAGAAACGTTGCCGCATAGCAATTTGATGTCGTTTAATCATTCCCTTGAATTCCTGTTTATAAGTTGTCGAAGGCCAAATGAAAACGACGAATGTCAGCACCGATGGCAGAAACGATATGAAATAGCCTGTGAGAAACAGCCAGGGCTCTCGCATTGATTTCATGCATCCAGATAAGAATGAAATGACCAGACGAGGTAGTGCGAGAATAACAAGAGTAATAGGACTTATAATCAGATGTTTCTGTCGATGAAATTCTTCATGCAAATGTTCCTGATATGTCTTTTGCTTGTGAGCAGTCGAATGAGCTCGAGCGATGATGACAATGATAAGTGCAGCTGCAACCAGATTGACAGAAAATGGAACAACAAAATGAAAAGTATGCAAAGCTGAATCCACATGTTTCATTGGAGGAGGATACCGAGCCATACACCATGTTCGTTGTTCTTCTTCATCGTCGACTAGTTCACGATGAATTGATTCATACACAAAACTGAGCAAAGTACTCAGTATTACACCAGCGATAACCCAACGAGCAATTCCTTTACTTTTTCGTCGATCGAAGCTGACACCTTTAATCGCGACAAAAACTCTTTCGATGGCTACACACGCACTAAGCCAGTCTTCGATAGCCAGTAGAGATCGAAGAATGTATTCACTTGAAATACAGTTCACTAGCAGAATACTTCGATTTGTAATCCACAATGCTTGGAAACAAATCAACAACCAAAATTTCAGAGTCAGCGCAATAATCGATAAAAGTGAGATGATCGACAGTGTCAAAAGATAAAGTCCACAGCCCACATTACTGATATTCTCCAAGCGAAAAGTTTTGATAGACAAAGTTGCATTGATAAGACCGATGACCAGCACCAGCGTCGTCACAGCGAAGCTTATTTTCACTGCAATTGATTGTCGTGTAATCGACACATACTGTCGAATTTGATATCCAAGAATAACGTCAAGGGAAAGGCTAAAATCCTTTGTTGTAAATTGACATCTTCCACCGAAAAAACAATCGGCACAGATACACAGCGTTGAAATGGGACAAATGGCACGATCCACCAGACATTGACCTCCATTTTCACATGTTGTTCGCCCTTGACAAACTGAACTTTTGCTCATATTGACAGGGAAACAGTTCGCATAGTTATCCTCGTTGCACAGACACATGAACATTTCTTTGTCGTACAAGCAAGTTAAGCGAGGATATTTTTGACATAGAACATGATAATACTTGGCCCGACGCAGCAGAGGAAAAGCAAGTGTTTGTTCATCGAACAGATTATGAACTGACGAACAGCGCTGATCAGATTTCATTTCTAATGTAATGCTAATTGAAGGTAAAGGATCAACTTGTAAATAGGTAAGGTAAAATTCAGCATGAACTTCAACAAATATTATATTGAATAGTTCAGTTGTATACAAGACAGCTGAGTTTTGGTCGAAAGCAACTTTTTTTGATATTGTAGTGACAAGTGGATCGTTTTTAAATTGCGTGGTGACAAAGTGAACTTGTAACGATGGGGGAATTCGAACATTAGTGAAGAAAATCTCGATGCGTGTATTTCTGACATCACAAGTAGTTCCCGAGTAACCTGTAATACAGATGCACGTGAAGTTATTCATGGAGATTCGATCATCTTCGGGTACACATTGTCCACCATTTTTGCATGGATTCATTTGACAGACCGAATGAAGAAGACATCGTGGACCAGCGTGATTTTGCGAACATAAACATATCGATCGATGATGTACTCGACCAAGACAGATCGATTCGGTTGAACAAGTACAATTCACTAGACGAATCGCACAGTTTGGGCCTGACCAGCCAGACTCGCACAGGCAGAAAGACTGTCCTGTATTCACGTATGCAGTACAACGACCATGATCACCACAAATAAACTGACAATTACTATGAAGACCGAGTGGTTGACTTGGAATGATCAGTGAAGTAGTAATACGATTGACAGGAAGGAATAGAAACTTGATAGGCAAGATCCAACTGGCATGATACATCAGATTGATTTTGTTGTAAGCATCAATTCGAATGGTGTAATTCATTGTCAGATTCTTTAGACGAGATCGATAGAGAAGATAAATATTGTATTTCATAGTACAATTAAATATGGAGATATATGTCAGTTGTTCGTAAGAATGGATATGTTGCTCATGATCGATGAGCCGTAGAACAATCCCATATACTCCAAGACAACTGGGTTGACATTCTTTGGTGAACCGAAGAGTCAGACTCACTCGTTGATTCTGAAATTCACATCGACGACCGTAGTAACTTGGAGGACAAAGGCAATATTCTTCTTTGTTTCCTCCGCGGAAAACGAGAAGACCTCGATTACATATCCAAGCTCGACGAAAGTCGATTTGGAGCGGATAGTCGGTCTCCATCCGAGGCATATGTGCAGATGAAATAGGCGTGGATGTCTGTGGCATGATCAGAGGTATCAGTGATCTATTGAACTGAAAACGAGTTTCATTACCGAGTTCGAAATGTTTGTACGATAGTGACAAGGGATTTCCCAGAAAGTAGTCGCTCCCAACACTTTTCAAAATCTTTTCAATGTGAGGATTCTTTTCACATTTCTCCTTGGCAAACTGATTTTGTTCGTATGGACAATCATCTAGACTGGAGCATTGCGAAAGCGTACATAACGTGTCGTTCCAACATCGGTAGCGAAAGCGATTTTTTTTTGCTTCCTGTCGTCGACAGTGTTCTCTTTCATCAGTTGCTCCAAGACAATCAATCTTTCCATCGCCGGTGCGATTCATTGACAAACACATCACCTCGAAAGTATCATGCGAGATACATTCATGACGATCAGGATAACATCTGGAAGTTGGATCACAATTGACCTCATCGGCACCATTATCACAATTCCAAATTCGATCACATCTTGTGTACTGGTTGTCACACGGGAACTGTTCACAGTTAGTTTCATCAGTTTCATTCGCAGATGGTAAATGAGTATGTTTATCACAAAGGTGTTGAAAAGGTACTTTTTGCTTCAAACGAAGACGTTCGTCATCACTATCGTGACAGCCGTCCTTCGAATAATATATGACGATCGGTGAATAGCATTTATTTTCTTTTGCTGAACATCGAAAACGATGTCGATGATTGAGCGCACATGATCGATTATATCTTTCATCATCAATCCAGGGACAATCATAAACACCATCGAGTAATCGATGCTTAGAAATACATTTCGCTGTGTTCGAACATTGGAACAACTGTTGATTCAAACAATGGCTTTCGTTTGCAACTTGATCAAATGACAAACATGTCTGTACGATCATAATTACGCGTCGAATTTCGCTCAACGCAGCATTTGCCAGGCCGCTACAGCTCAAATTGTTCAAGTGAAACTGTGGTAGCATAAAAGGGCATCGTTGGGGGTTATAACAGACGAAGTCCGGAAATGGAATTCGTCCGAAAAGATCAAAGGTAATCGCTTTGTTTGTCCAATACCCAAATTGTGCATAATTTTCAATCGTAGGAAACGCTGGTAGCATCGCATATTTCGATTGATTACATACTTTCTGTAGAGAAATGTTGCAAGGCAAACCATGGCTTCCACATAACGCTTTGATACAAGGGATGCCATGTATTTCGCTAGCAATACAGTTCATCACTGTTCGACAGTCGAATGTCAAATTAGAGAAATCTTGCCCATCACGAAACACAGACCAAACTAAGTAGTTGTGACGGTTATTTACACATTTTCGCGCATCGTCTTCATTGGAGTGCCCGATTTTGTCTGACATATATACCAAAATTTGCTGCCCGTCGCCGCACACAAAATCTCGATTGCCAAAAAACTGATTTGAATCTTCACATCGAAATGCCGGATCTGCAGCGCAACCAGCAAATCCCAGATATCGTTGAAGATCCTGTTTGAGAAGATCATTCTCGTCAGTTCCATCTAAACAATCTGGGTTAGCCATATCATCATCAATAAATTGTTGATCGACGCACATACCATTGTAACATCGATATTCATTTGGCTCACATTCGTTAATCTCTAATTGAAGACAATCTTTCTCGTCGATTCCAGTATCTAGACAATCCATGTGTCCATTGCATACCTCACGCCAATCGAGACAAATTGGAGAAACACCACGGTTACAATCGAGATGAACGTAGCAAGTTAGATTTGTAATATCGGAGACTGAAAGACTATCGGTGTCCTTTTTTTGCTTTGCGAGAAAAGTCTTCCGAACAATCACCTCGAATGATTCGTCAGAATCGAAAGTGTATTGACAAAAGGGTCCAAACCATGGCGATGTACAGTTATAAAAGAATTCAGCGGTCGAATTTAATCTCGATGAATCCAGATAACTTTGATAACGCTCAACAAGATCAACTGGAGCAGACCATGTCAGTAAATCTTGCGTGTTGACGTTCAAGTTTTTCAGTGTCTCGAATCTGAAACTTAACGAAGAGTGACTTGTCACATTTGTTGAAGGTTGCTTTTCGGTTGTGATCAGGGGGCGTATACAGTAAGGAATGATTTGATGAGGATGTGGTGGAAAGACACCATCCGGAACCTTATAATGCAAACAATCGTAATATAAATCACTTTCACATGTCGAATCGGTATAATAGAGATGATATTGGGATTCACTTGCGATCAACATCGATAGTAAAATTACAGTACACTTCAGCATCATGCCTGACCAAGACTGAATCAGTGTGATCATCTATTTCTATGGATGGTAATGTTTCTTCTATATTGTGAAATAACTGCAGCAGAGATGATGATGCAGTCTCCAGTTTCAATGTTGAACGTTATCGGATATATAGACAACAAAAGCGAGCATGCTCTATTGATGATTACACATTTACAAAGTCAGATTATGAAATAAAAGCTGCGTATACAAATGAAGACAAGAATGATGGAGTCGTAGTCACGTCGTGAGCCTTATTCAGCATTGAACATTTAGTAGACAGCCCTAGAAAAGGTTTTTTCAGAAAAACCCAAGGTGTGGATGGGTGAGGGTGTGGGTGTAGGCGAGTAAGCAAACATAAGCCTCACTCACCCTCACCCTCACACACCCAAACCCTCAGTTCATCCGCTGGACAACATCAGATTTGAATCAAAGTCACTAATTGCTCTGGATGTGAATTTGCCAAGAAGGCTTTGCTATGTCACTTGATCGATTATGCCTCTGTGATTAGTTATGATTACAATGTCTACCAGTATTCTCGATCTCGTCTTTCTCCTGGCGTAGAGACCATCGTTTTGAATCATTACAAATGTGTCTATGTTGGACTTCTTTTTTCATCCGACGAGAAAGTCTTTCGCGATATTTACGAAGGTCGCAATCTCGATCGTGTGGAGCAGAACACGCACGGTGAAATTGTCGCTAAATTCAAAGATGTTATTGACATAACTCCCATCTTCATCCGTCCCCGTGAGCAATAAGGGAATGCAGAGTTAGTCGCGGTGAACATAGCTGATCACGTGGTTTCTATCCTTCTCAAGGAGAAGACATCTGTCGACGGCAAAGACGTCCATTGATGCGGCGATCAAATGCCAGGCCAGTCGCGAAGAGATGATGCAAACGTTGGACAGAATGTTGATGAACCGGATGAAGGAGAGACGACAAATCTTAGCAGTGGCCGAAGCGGCAAGAGTTAAATCGCTGGAAATATTAGTCATCGCCAACAAAGCAACAGAAACAAGTGTGCAAGTGGTGCGTATGAGTGCTTGCAATTGGTGAAGGAACAGCAAGAAGAGTTCAGAGTAGACATTCAGCAATTGAAGGAAACACACAAGCAAGCCTTGGTGATTCAAAGAGACAAATACAGTCGAATATCAGCAAACAAAGCACGAACGCTCAGCGACAGTTGGCCGATTTACGACAAGAAGTGAGCAGATTAACGAAAAAAGCGAAACAATCAAAGAGAGGGACACTTAGGAGTCTGCGAAAACCGCGCTGAGTATGAAAAATGCGATGAAAACGATGATCGACACACACAAGCAAGCAAGGCAAGCAGAGGAGTGAGCGGCAGAGGCACTCGAAAAGGTCCAGAAGATAGTCCGTCGAGCAGAGCACTGAGCTCTATTCGAAAATCGCTCATTCTTCTCATAGTTGATACCTTTGATTTGTATTTATGATGATTGACTATAGAGTATTGTTCGATTTCTATACCTACAGTTTCACCGTTCGGATCGTTGTCGTCTCATCGCTGATACCCTTATTCGCGCTCAAGTTCAGGGTGAGGGTGTGACAAACTGTCATGACCGGTTTCGATTCAATTACGAATCTCATTAGATGACTTAATAGCTTAATTCACATGAAAAAAACATATGTGGTGGCAACAGGTTTATTGAAATTAAATTAACCTTGAAGTAAGTGAAAGCTCTTGACACGCAGGTCTTTTGCTTTTAATATAGAATCAGATATGGAGAAACAAAAATGGAAAGAAAAATGTTAGCAAGAAAAGAAAAAAAGAAAAGTGGAAATAGATGTGGATGGTGTGTTGAACTTATTGTGGTGGATTGAGTATAAAATGAATATTTTGTTGGGTTATTATATCTTCTAGTGTTTGACTACGTATGAGTGCTTTTTCAGTAGGATTTCTAACATATGATCGAATAAATGGTATGTTAGTTATTCTGTGTATATATGTAGCTGAGATAAAATGAGGTAGACCAAGAGCGGCCCTAATTGATTTGTTTTGAGCGATTTGCAGTCGATTCCATATTTTATCTTCAACATTCAAAAGAATAGATGAGCTGTAAGATATAATTGGACAAATGAGAGACTTGTATAAATTAAGCATGATTTTATCATCTGATTCAGGACTGATCTTACTGAGATATCGAAGCAAGTTTATACGAGATTGAATTTTAGTTTCAATGTACTTAACATGATCATGCCAGCGTTAACGAGGGTGACTGATATGAAGATGTACTGAAAATGTATTTCAGTTCCATGTGCAAAGTTAACGTGATTTCACATCGCCAAATCACTAATGCCTGACTAGATGACTGATTTTGTTGTTTACCGCGTATGTTCATCTTAGACATATTTCAATAAATATTCAAAAGAAATAGTTATTAGAAAGATCTTGATCGTTATAAACATATAAGTTGCTCAAAAAGAAGAAATTAAAGCGAAAATAGTGTTAAAAATCAAAGAAAAAAAAATTCCGATAGAACACGTGGAAAAACGATGAAATCTTGGGAATGAAAGTGGATTAAGGAAAAAGGATACGTAGATTCTATCTAGGGCATCTAGGGAGTCGAACGATGAAAGAAAAAAAATGTATATCTTCACTAGAAAATAAGTTGATGCATTTTTAACGAGAGGCACTCAATTTGTCCTCATATTAACAAAACTGACTTTTCTCAATGGCAAAGACATGAGTCGAACCGCTAAAAAGTAGTGTCCTAGAATCAGTTTTTGATGCTGAATCAGGATCAGAAACTTCCAAAGGTATAACATATTTTTTGAAAACCCTACTGTCAAATTTCGAGTGAAAACCCTGATTTTTCGAAAACCTCGGTTTTTGTAGTATTTTGAAGATTTCTCCTGGAAGACGACTTTCTATGTCACTAAATTATACATATTCGGATTCAGCGCATCAAGCTGCATCATATCACATAAAAAATTCAACAAAAAAAATTTGCTCCACTTTTGCCTCTCACCAACCTTACATATATATATACTAACGAATTCACTATTCAATCACTATGGAATCCATAACAGAAGAACATGTCTTATCTCAAAAAATGAGTCAACTATCTACCAATACAACAGATACAAAAGAGTGGAGTTTGTTGAAGGAGATCAAAGTAGAAATTGACAAAGTTCCAGGTTATCTTACAAAACGGAATATACTGTTCAATCAGATGTCAGGTCAAATCCTGCCACAAATGGAACTAGAGATGACAGTAGATGACGAACAACCAAGTACCATCAACAATATAAACAGATTACGAAAAATCGCTATTTTAATTTATAAAATTTTAATTATACAAACTTATCAGCTTCTATGGGCTGCTTATTTAAAATCAGGTATAGGACAATTGATTATCCCATCTCAAACAAAATTACCCTACAACACAACTTTACCAATATGGCCAAAGGAAATTAAAACAATGTTATTAGCAAACAACGTAGAACATATGAATAAGAATGAAACTTATTTTAATTTTGTCACTGATCAGTTGCATGGTTTAGATTCTTATTTAAAACAATTTCAAACAGAATTAAATGTTAAAGCTAATAATTTAAAAGGTTTCACGTTAACAAGTCAAAATATAATTCAAGCGTACATTGGAAAAAACCTACAGATTTTTCGTATGGAAATTGAACATAAAATTGAACTTGTTTATTATGATTATCATATTCGAGCATTGAAATTAGAATACTATCAGCTTAATCCAAATCCTTTTCAGGTATGTGTCACGTAATTCATTTAGTTATAGCGAAAAAAAAAACAATCTTTTTGCTTTTCTATTTAAATTATATTTAGAAACAACTAATGATAGACATATGTCAAAGTGAATATGAACGAGAAACAGCAGAGCAAGAACTGAATTTTCTTCAACAACAAATTACTTATTCTAATTCGTCAAGTCAATCATTTGAATATTCACTAATAGCTCATGATCCATTAATTGATTCTATAGAAAATCTAGATACTCGACAACACTTATATCAGCAATATAAACAAGTCGCTGAACAAGCCAGAGCAAACTTATTCACTTTCTATATGAAGACAGCTAAAGAGCAACGAGACGAATATAAAAACAAGCATGAATCTAATTTACAAAAAATGTGGAATGCCTATCGTTCAACGTCGTCTGATAATGAGAAAATATCTACAAGCATGCTCGATCTTATACATCAACGTTGTATGAAAATTAATGAACGTATTAAATGTGTCTACAAATTTAAAGCACTTTCAATTCGTTTAGAATTTTAAAACATAGTTTTTTTTTAAATAAAAATTTCGACATTCAGATGTGTTAACTCAGCATATAAATGTATGTTAGTTATGTCATTTCTGTTCTCTTATTTGTCATTCTAGATCAATTGATAAGCTTATTCTTCTACGACACATATTAATATTATTTTGACAATGGATACAAATGAGCTTAATCAAAACGATGATCATCCGACGGATTCAAATCAACAACAAGAAGAGCAACGTAAAAAGAAATGTCACGGTAATCGAAAAGACCAACGTTTTAGAAAAAAATGTCGTGCACGACAAATGAAACCAGAAACGATAGAAAAATTACTAAAGAATCGAAAACAATTCAATATGAAAA